TCATAGCGGCCCTATGAACCTTTGAAAGACTTTATAGTGACCCTTATCTGCTCACCTTGAAAGTGTTTTGGGAGTTATAAACCCGGGCATATGGGTACCACGACTCACAGTGAAAATGTACAACCTCTGCAGAGTGTAAAACTGATATATCAACCGTGCTCATGTACAAGAGCAGCCTTGGAACTCTTACGGAATAGATGATCATTAATGGTTAATTATTTATGCTATTTATTAATCATGATTACCTAGTCATGTGTTTACATGGGCTTGTGATAAACTTGTTGCTACTCAATTACTAAAAATCATGACTCACTAAAAGCTAATCACAGTTAAACCAGTGTCAACCTTTTGAGCCTCATGAACCTCATGTTATATTTGCTGAGTACGACATGTGCTCACCCTTGCTATTTTTCCCACACCTCAGTCTGTAGTAAAGTTGCTCAGAAGATTGATGATGACACAAAGGAGTTCCTAGAAGATTGATATGGGTACTAGGCGTATGTTACCCCCAATTAGCCGTCCCTGTGAATGATGGAGCTTGAAGATTAGTTACCGTTCCACGATACTCTGATGTAAGTGTTAATATAGTTATGTATATATTATTTAATAATATTCTTTCTAATACTATTTACTCTATTGTTGTATGTGTGGAATTCTTGGACACACATATGACGAGCTTGGTTTTCTTTGTAAAACTGGGCGTGACAAAAACGTCAACCACCATATTGCATTAATGCCCGCAATCCGAAGTTTGTGTCGGGCAAAGAGACCAGTCCTACCACGATGCGTCGGCGTTGGTGCCCGTCAAGAGACCGAGTTCTCCTCTATGTGCATTAGCTTAGAATCTCTTCTCTACCTAATACTAAAGAGGCAAAATTCTGCCAACATTAAATTTTCGTCCGACCTAATTATATGTGTTCTGTCCGCATTACTAGCGCTCTCCGGGTCTTTTTTTTCTTTCTAATCTGGAGATGGACTCAACGTGCCAAACCAAATAGGTGGCATCCACGAGCAGCTGAGATGAGAGAAAACAACTACAGGGCACTGGCGAAAGAATGGATAAGCTCATGGTTGTCTCTGACTTTCTTTAAATATATAATAATATAGTATTGTTCTTTATTTTAAAAATGATATTGTACTGTTCTTTAGAGATTAAATATTGATTATTGTCTAATTATTTTTAGACATACTATTCTTTCCTGTATTTTTCCTATGGTCATCAAAGACTGGTTCATACAAAATTTTCAATCCTCTGTTGTCTTCATGTATTTCTATCATATTCCTACGTTGTTGTATTCTTACGTTCCAAAGAGGCCTCTAAAAGTAAGCAAAAAAAAAAAAATAAAGGAAGAAAAAAACATTATTGACATTTTGTTTTTTTTTATCGGAAGGGGCTGTTTTACTAAACGTTTTAAAAAATAGGTTTAACTTCACCTATGAAGCTGTTCGTGGAGCCGAAGTAAAAAAAACATGTTCAGTGTGAAGCGGAGCTATACAAACGGGATCTAAATATTTAGAGCAGGTCTACAGGTGGTTCCACGTATTTTTGCGAAAAAATAACAACAATGCGTCCTGTGGTTTTATTCAAGATTATAGCCTTTGTGACATTAATAAAATCAGCTTTGATAATTCATTATCTTATTTTGACAAAAGAAATCTATACAATTATGAATTGTTTTTTTAGCAACATATAATTATGAATTGTTAGAATTAGTGTTTTTGTCTCTCCGCGTTGTAACACACGGGCATATTTGCTAGTATGTATAATTTCAATGAAGGGCGGGCCTGGTGCAAGCGGTAGAGTCTTACCGCCTGTGACCGGAAGGTTCCGGGTTTGAGTCGCGGTCTCCTCGCATTGCACAGGCGAGGATAAGACTTACCACTAACACCATTCTCCAGACTCCGCGCAGAGCGGGAGCTCTCTGCACTGGGTACGCCATTTTTTATGTATAATTTCAATATTATTTTTCAGAACAAGCAATATTAAAGTTACGACAAATGTCTTTGTCAATACAAAGTGTGATAAACCTATGGAGCATGGAAGGTGGCAACTTGGGATTTTCACAGTACGATTTCTCTCATATAAAAGGAGCTACAAATAACTTTTCGGTTGACAATAACTTTGGCATCGGTCTGACAATAAACTGACCAGGAGAAGGATTTTCCCTCTCAATGCACTGTTCATCAAACCAGCCAAACAAAGGTTTTTTTTCTCACTTCCAAGTTTCGCACCAATGTCCCAAGGTATTGTGTCCTTACACCACAAATATAATGCCTTCTCTATATTAATATTGTAGAGATAGGTTCTGCAATGATGCATAGTTTAATTGATATTTTTGTGACTAAATAAAACACATAAATTTCCAGGAGAACAAGTTATTGAAAACCAAAACTTGTTTATTCTATTTTGATCAATCACAGGGCCAATTGAGAAGTGGAATTAAAATAGAAGTCAAGAAACTTGAAGCATGTTCTTTACAAGGATTATTGGAATTCCAAAATGAAATTCAGCTTATAGATAAGCTTCAACACAAAAATCTCGTTAAGCTGCTGGGTTGCTGCACTAGAGGAGATCAAGAAAAGATGCTTATATATGAATACATGGAAAATAAAAGTCTAGATTACTTCATATTTGGCAAGGACCGTCTCTTCTACATGTGTAATGTTGCTTATAGTATGTCAACGCCTCATCGGTTTTGATAAATTGTATTACTCAAAAAAAAAAAAGTTTTGATAAATTGTACATCTTTTTCAGATGATGTGAAGGGAGCACACCTAAACTGGTCAAAATGTCTTCACACAATTAATTGGATAGCTCAAGGGCTTCTTTACCTTCACAATTATTCGCGGTTATGTGTTGTTCATAGGGATTTGAAAGCAAGTAACATTCTCTTGGATAGTGAAATGAATCCAAAAATATCAGATTTTGTGATGGCCATAATATTCTGTTCAAATGTGAAAGAATCAAATACTACCATAATAGTTGGCATACAGTAAGAACATATGGATCTGTTCACTTTGAGTACATTTAAAATTCATAGAGGTGTTTCTTATGAAAAAAAAACAACACTGTAGCATGTCATCAACTTAATTTTTTTAAAAAACGCTTTTTTTGCATTACACTGACACTATTTAACTTCCATCCTCAGTTGCTATATACCTCCTGAATATGCTTTTCATGGGGTTTGCTCCATCAAATCAGATGCTTTTAGCTACGGGGTATTGACATTGGAAATTGCAAGTTCAAAGAGGACAGCACAAATCTATGCGTACAACGGAAAGCTATATAATCTCATCTCCTATGTGAGTGTAATTAACCTTAATGAATCAAGAACTTTATCTGCACATGCCCACTTGCTTATAAATGCATACCCCTATCTCACTTGTTTCACAAAAACATGTTTGGCAGGCTTGGCAACTTTGGACAGACGGAAAATTAGATGAGCTGATTTATTCTCCTCCAGGCAATGCACGTAAAGAGATAGAAAGGCGCATTCATGTGGCACTCTTATGTGTTCAAGAAAGCGCAGAGCATCGACCTGATATGGAGCAAGTTGTCACAATGCTAAACAATAAGGATGTGAGCTTACCAAAGCCTATGCAGCCAGCTTACTTCCATGTAAATCCTAGTGAGGAAGAAGTTTCATCACGGAGCGTTACTATGACTATGAGTATCACACTAGAAAGGTAGAAGCACATTGTCATCATTTCTGAGAAAAATGCTTGTAATTAACTGCATCAAGAGGAAAATGTTTGCACCAATATAGCCATATGAGTAAGTTTGATTGTTATGTATATTTATTAACACAACATACATTTTCACATTTTTGCTTGGATATGCAAAACACTTCTTGGGCTGAACTGAACCTGGACCTTTGAAATTTCAACCTCGTGTCTCATAAACAACAAAATAGGGCGTTCTGATCCTAAAACAAATGCATTTTAGAAACCACAGTAGCACGCTTCAAATAAAAACAGCAACAAGACTATTTTGTGATCTTGAGTTGCTTTATTCCTACAGTAAACTTCACAACAAGCAGTCCATGAATTGATGTCCACTTAAATGAATCAGACAAATTCATGAGCACGAACTGCAATTGGGCACACACATAAATGGGGGTACAGTAATTGCTACCGTAGGGTACTCAAAATTTAGGCCTGTTTGGTTGACCCCTTCTAAAGCTTAGAGTTACTTTTAGTCACTAAAATATCAAACACTCCACTAAAATTTAGGAGTCATTAAAGTTTAGTGTTTTTAGTCATCAAGAGGTAGCTAAAAATGATTAAAATATATATGGGATAACTACTTTAATAGGTGGAACCAAACATGGATCATTACACTGTAGAGGAGTCACTAAACTTTACTTTAGGAACCACTTAACTTTAGTGGGTCGAACGACCCTTATAACTTGGCAGTGAACGGCACTCCCCACAAGGAGACAAGGTTAATCTACCATAATAATAATTAACCTTTATTCTTGTATACCAAACAACCATTCATGTATAACTTCCAACCCCTTCACCCGAACCAAAGCCATCGTGCGCCACCACCCGAATCATCGCTAAAAAAATAAATAAGTCCCTTCGCCCGTGCGGCCGAAGCCATCGCCGTTCTTTTGTTCCACCCGAATCGTCCAGCCAAAAAATAAATAAGATCTCCTGAACCTTCTTCTTTCACCTTCACCTTCACCTTTCCAGTCAAAAAATAAATAAGATCTCCTGAAACCTTCCATTCCCCACCAGACTCAGCCACCGCACATGTGCGAAAAAAAAAACGGCCCTTCCGTTTCCCACGAGGCGAAGCGACCCCAGCGCGACGGCACCGACAGCGCCGCCACCGGCGCCTCGACGGCTGCCCGGCCGACGACTGGTAGGGATGGCATAGGCGCCATGGTGCCTGGACCGACACCAGATGGCCCCATGGGACGGCAGCGGAGGCGCCGCCCGGTCAACGGCGTGCCGTGGCCGACAGCCGCAGGCCACGGCTGTGTCGAACGACGATGACCCGCGTTGTGCTGCCACCGCTGCTGCTCACGGGAGAAGCGCCACCGCGCGTGCACGCGCTCGCGGCTGCGCGCTACGGCCCGCTGCTCCCCTTCGTGATTGACGGCGATTCTGTGCTCCAACAAACCCTACCAACCATTTCTTCCCAGGTTAGTTCTCACCCTCCTCGACCTTCTTTGCATCCTCTACCAGATTTGTCTTACTCACCCATCAGGGAGGTTCTCCTTTGCAGGAAGTGGAAGCCCACCTCTCCCGGCCACTCCTAGGGCCGGTGGCCGCGGGCGCGGCTGCCCCCGCTGAGCGCCGACCGCACGCTGCCCCCGGCGCAGGCCATCCTCGCCCCTGCCCTCCGTCCAGACCAGCCCTTGAACCAGCGCCCTCTTCTTCCTCCTGTGCACGGTAGGTCCTTCTGCGCCTTTGACGTGCTCGATGGAATGCCAACATACACACAAAAAAAAAAACCATCCTTCTTGCCAACTCCGCCCAAGTTTACCAAATGTTCCTCCGTGTTGTCATGACAATTATCTGTCTTGCTTTGGAGGGCGTCCTTGATTTACTTTTCTGTTTTCCTTACTGCACCAGGTTGTTTGTGAATTTGTATGATGTCTAAACATTTATGTTTCGTCCAGTTTATAGTCCAAGTAACGGTTACAGGCCAAGGACTTCTCACGCAGACCAACCATTTGGACCTCAGGCAGTTCCATTGTGCGTAAAAAAAAGGTTTGGTTTCAGTCTCTCTATTTCTGCATTTTTCCTGTATGTACATAAGAGATCCTTCGTTGGTTTCAGTTTGCCATATTGACAATACAGCAATGAACTCTCAAGGAATGTTACTTCATCCATGCCAGCTCCTCATGTACCAATCGCTACTTCAGAATCTATCCTACCATCAAATCGATACACGACGACTTATGTTGCCTTCAGGTGATCCATATACTTACAGATATATTAACTAAATAACAAAGCATGCACATATTGTACTCTGTCACAGATATAGATAAGTCAGTGAACATCAAAGGCTAAAGCTACCATAGCGACTTTTCCAAAAAAAATATGAATGCATACAGATTTACTTTCTTCTGCACATATCAGATTGTTAGTGATTTTTGGCCTCTATTAATCCCAACCTGCTCACCTAAACTATATTTTCTGGATTCATTGCCTATACCTTTTGTTTCTACGGGATTTACCGCGACCAGATGCTGAAACACGCACCGAATGAAAGGATTGGGAAAAAAGGTAGGTTCCCATGCTCTTTTGCTTAGGTTCCTGATTTTTACGCCATTGATCTTTTGCTTACTGCTATCCATCTGATAAGATTATTACCATTCATATTTTGCTTACTATTATCCACCTGACAAGATTATTGTCATTTTCAAACGCTTACCTTCATGTTCCCACAAAATTCAGCACCTCTCTTGCATTAGCCGACACCGCAGTAAGTTCTTAGCCTCTACTATTTCTTTTGTGCTCATTCCATTCATTTATGTTTCATACCCTCTCTCATAGAAACGCTGTCAGACAAAAGATATTCAGGCCATATCTGAAGATCCCTTCAATATCATGGCAGTACCATGGCAATATCATGGATAATACTTGGAAAGAATCGTCTGCAAAAACGTATGTCAAAATGTTTGACACAGCCTTTGCATCCACACATGCTGATGAAGAGCAGGACTGAACTGGTAAAATTCTGCACTAATACGCCATGCATCGTGTTTGCTCTACTCTTGCTTCCTTTCATCACTTTCCAAGAATTTTAGTAAGAATTTGTCATTCGCAGCATATGTGGATCCATTCTGACTTTTGCAGCGAAGATGGGGAGCAAGCCAAATCATACATGTCCTGAGTAAATAAAAATACTGCGAAATATGTTATCTGATTTATGTAGCATTATTTATCATGAGATTCCTTTTGTAATGCACAATGACTACTGTGGTATAATACAGGGACAGCCTCAGGGACAGCTGATTGTCGCCAATATGGCCCTTATTGCTGACTATCTCATATCTTCAAGCAAAATTTTTCCATATATGACCCTATTTTGTGATATGGGCTCTAAGAAATTTATCCAGGCTTACATTTTCTTCAAGAGTAATCTCATCTACGCTTTTGGTTTTCTTTTCTAGCAACAGTCAACAATAGTGCATTTGCAAATTGTGTGATGCTGTTATATGAATGCTTTGTCAAAAAAATGCACCTGCATCCTGCTATTTGCCTCATTATTTGTTTGTATTACGGATTTAATTTACTGCAATACTTCTTTTAAGCTTTTATATAATGCTTACTGTATTAGGTTCCTTGCTTGGTCCTTCCATATATTCTAACATGCAAATTTATGCAGCCTTACATTTAATTTACTATCATAATTGTCAAGTGCATATTTCAACTTTTAACTAATATAATGCTTCATGTATTAGATTTCTTGCCTGGTCCTTCTATGATTTACAGCGGCATCAAGACATCATTTCTCTGGTAATATGCTTAATGTTAATCTACCGCAGTTTGTATGAATATGAGCCCTGTGCTGTGACATCCATGGTTATATGACTTTTGGTTACCGAATTCAGACAAATAAAATATTTGTGTCATAACATGAGAGCAATCAATTCTTTGTAAATTGGTTTCTGCCAGTCTGCTCTTTATGTGGTTAGTACTCATAAAATTGTATCCTCATCTACATGCTTTGTTAACAGTGCCTACGCTAGGTACCCAATACCTCAGCATAACACTTAAAAGGAAAACATCATCACATCCAAAGGGCCATACATAATTACTTACGGAGGATTCACACATGCGCTTCTCCTTATGTGCTTACAACTGTGTTTTTTTTTGCTTCTTTTGATTGCCAATTCTTCCTTATCCTCATGCCATCACACTCTTTTCTCAGTTGTGCCTCTATGTTTTCCCTGATTCTTATTCTTTACTATTATTTATGCTATCATTTGCTGCATGTATTTGTGCTTACAATCATGCTGCCTGTGCATTTGACATTCAGTTCTTTGTCAGGTTTCCCTATGCAGCTTCAGTTTGAATTTTGATGGACTCTTTGAAGACTACCTAGGATTGCAGAATTGTAGATGGGCATACCATGGTGGATTCTACCTCCAAAGGATGCAACTGAGATGTGGCATACACATCAGCCTGCAAACAAAAAAAAAAAAATCTTTTCTCCCCTAACTGAAGTAGTTTTACTTTGTACAGCAATAGCTCTGACAGATTGCCATGTACTCCTGTGAATATTTTCCCTGAATCTATACTTGCTGCTGAACCTCAAGCCATGAACCTCAATACAACCTTCTTCTGTGCATGATTCGAATAGAAGAAATCAGTTTGCAGAAAAAAAAACATATGCACATTGCACAGAAAAAGAATGAAGATTTTACTTCGTGTACATTCATAGGCTCTTTTTTCCCTGAAAACCTATTCATAGGTCGTTTGGCCTATGTATTGTTACTTGCTCAATATTTTCTGGCGCCTTCTCATCCTACATATACATATACGTATGCTTGCTACCCCGCGCTCCTATGAATCCCTGACTCGAATCGAAAGCAAAAGCGAAAAGAGGGAACTCAATGTCTGTCACCACCCGCGCGAGCCTGAACCCGGAGAAGGTCGCGGCGGTAGCCCGCCGCTGTACCCGTCGCAGGCCGTGTGCGTCCCTGGCGGCCGGCGCAAGGGTGCGTGCCGCCTCGCCGGCGCTGTTCGTCACCAGTTCCACTTCGAGCCCGTCGTCGCCACTCGCCAGTCCCATTCAGGACCGCCTGGGCCGTGGGCTATCGAGTTGAACCAAACGTAATAATGGCCCAGCATGTTCTCTTGTGGGTCTTGATTGGGCCGATCACACAATGTACTGGTAGGAGTATACTACTCCGTATTTTCTAGGGGAAAAAGTCCACATTAACTCCCTTAATTTTCGTAAAAATCCGTTTTCCTCCCTGAATTTCAAAATCGGGTCCTCAACTTTTAAAACTTTTCATCCTACCTCCATGGCCGTGTTATAAGCAGTTTTGAAAGACGGTTTTGTCTTTTTCTTATTTATTTATTTATTTATTTCGGCTAAATCTTTGAAAAATCATAGAAAATCACAGAAAAATCATAAAATGGAAAATCTAATTTTGTTGGACTCCACATGAGTAGATCTACACAGTGAATATATAATATGGTATGCTTTAGTATAAAGTTTTTGTTGTGGCTTTAAATCTATGCTTTTATGCAATTAATTGGAATAATTCACAGCTGCAGTTTTTTATGGTCTAATTGTGATGAAATTTTTATTGTGGGCTAATTATTATATGATTGAACTATAGTAAAAATATCATACTCATTCGAAGCTTAGTTATAGATTTATTTATATTTAACGAGCATAAACCTAAATAAGTTATTGCTCGGAGCGTCGGGCACTGCTCGGCTTGGCCACCGGGAAGGTGTGCGGAGAGGTCGGCGGCGATGGAGTCGAAGGCGACGTCAGGCACGGGCGCGAAGGGAAGAGCGTCGAAGTCGGTGGACTCGAGGTTGCTCTCCTCCAGGGTGTGGGCAAGCTGCTCGAACAGCCCACCCCAGTTATCGACGACGATGGGCGCCTCGCAATGCTGCTCGTCGGAGTCGTCGCCTCCGTCGAAGAGGCCGCCCCAGTTGTCGGCGACTACGTCAGCTCCGACGGGAGCGGACTGGGTCAGAACGAAGTCACCCCAGGAGGACTCCTGCACGGCGTCCTTGGTGAGTCCCCACTTCACATCGAACTTGAAGAGCTTGTGGAGTTTGCGGAGTTCGTCGAGGATGAGTTGGGTGGAAGGAGAGATCTCGGAAAGGGGATTTATGGTGCTAGGATCCGAGAATCGACGGTTCTGGTACCACTTGTTAGCGACCACAAGGGATTGACACTTAGATAATCGGATTCGAACCTGGATACAGGACCTCGAGGGAAGGGAGGTCGGATCAGAGAAGACGAGGTAGAAACTGGGTACAGAGGAGATAGACTTGGGGAGGAAGATAAACAGTAAACTAAGAAGTAGTATTCTGATATTTGGTAAATGATTCGATGCCTTCCCCCCTACTGCTCCTGTGCTCTTGTAGTTGTAGAAGACGTCCAGCGGTCCAGGCGATTGCTTGCCTAGGCCAAGGCCCAGGGCCCATATGATGGCCCAATCCATGAGTGATCCCTGACACATATGTAGATTTGGCATTTGTTGATCTCTTTAACATCTAATGCGACCTGGTTAATTTAAACAATCTGGTACTTATTAAACCTAAAAGATAGGAAAGGTTTTCATCCAACGCATCTTCGCGGGCGCGGCTGTCGATCGGGTCAATCTTGGTTTCCTCCATCCCGTGGAATACGGAAATAGAAATAGAATATGGAAACAGGGGAAAAAACGCCATCGATCTCCACTAGAATAGGGAAACAGAAAAAAAACGCAACGTCACCCAGGGCCGTCCCGGGAAAATTAGAGCCCTGTACGATACTAAGAAATGAGGCCTATTAGTCTAGAAAAAAAAACTAAATATACGATATTATAAAGCATACAGTATATTGCAATAAAATATATATCAAGATTCAAGAATGATACCTATATTACATAATCTTTACTTGAATAACATCATTCTTTTAGTGTTCTTTGGAATGAAGTCTTCAATAATATGCTCATAATCAATCTTCTCCAACAGTTCACCTTCAAGTGCTATTATAGCCAAATCATTAAGTCTTTCTTGTGTCATTGTAGAACGCAAATAAGTCTTCAATAGCTTTAACTTAGAAAAGCTTCGCTCTGCTGATGCAACATCATCCAGAATAGTCAACAAAACTCTATATGCAATAGTTGCATTAGGAAAACAACCATGCTCCTTTAAAAACCGCAAAATTTCAACAGGCCCTTTCTTTCTTATCGGAATGAAGTCTTGTAGAAACTTCACTCCATATATAGTTCTTTGGCATCAATATCAGATTTTTCATCCTTTTTAAGGACAGCCTCAAGATTATCACAAGAAGACTTCAAGCTTTGGTTATCCAACGACCGCAATGTTTCCAAAGTAAATAAGAAACCAAAATTTTTTTGGTATTCTTTGTACTGCTCAAATCTTGTTTCCAGAGAGACAATAGCTTGATCAATAAGAGTGTTAAAATACTCTATTCTAAATAACTCCTCTGGAGACATTGTGGCAATATTTGTGTCTTCTGGGTTCTCATCGTGATGCCTCTTTCTTGTAATTTTTCTTTTTTTAGTGAATGTAGTACCAATATCCATCTCAAGTGCAATTTCTTTATTCCTCTATTCTTTGTTTCTTCTTACGCTTTTGAAAACTCTATCCATAGCTCCTTGCTGAGATTGGACTAATTCCTCTATTCTTTATTTCTTCTTACGCTTTTGAAAACCTGATTCAAATTTTCTAGAACGATTTGTAGAAGACATGGCTTCAATCTTTGAATGCTATTCCAGTAGGTGTCTAGATCAAAAGATAAAAAAAACAAATTTAGAGATCGATCAACTACTTATTGTTCGTGGCTACCAAAGAATGAATTGAAAAATAAATATGAATGATTTATATTACCTTCAGGGCCTTAGCGCCTCGCTCTCATTGTTGCGCGTTGCAGCTAGATCGTCACGCTCACCGTCACACTGCGATGCGCGTCAGCGATGGCGGCGACACGAGACGAGACGTCGAGAGGTAGTACGTGAGACCTAAGATTTGCGATCCGTGGAATTGGGATCGGAACATTGCCAAAATAAATGGCCGGGCAACAAGCCATTGTTTATTGGGCTTTGGTCAATTGTTGTACACGGCTTTGCTAATGGGCCAAAGGCCAAAGCTCTGCTATGATTCTTATTTACCAAGCAATACATATATACGATATATACTCTATATATATTTGAGGCCCACACCTCAGATCGCGCAAAAGGGACGACCTCGTCACCCGATGATACCAAGTCTCGACATCCTTGCTCATGCGTCCACGTCCGATAAGAATCATCCTCTACTCGAAGCTTACGAGTCTATGTCCTGTCTGGTTCCGATACGAGGAACGGATCCACATATCCGCCTCCGATATGATTTTAATTATTTTCTGCAAATCAATCGCCATAGGTGTCAACAAAAAATCCGTGCCTCTGGTGCAACGCATGGGCATTTATCTAGTTTACAATAATAATATTTATAATCTATATAGATTCGCAACACAAAATTAAATTAATCAAAAAAATTAATTATGACAAAATTTCTATTCAAGTTAATACAATTTTATATAGATACTATTATTAGTTGGATTGAAGTTATAATAGTTCGGCAAGCAAGCCGGGGGTCTTCCGTTGCAAGTAGCAGCGCGCGTCGAAACGCTTGTACAATTCAAAAACGACCAACACTTCTGACTGTATGAACACTGAAGAAAATAATCACGCGTGATTGACTGACTGACTGGTGGCGGCTGGAACAGGCGGTGTTCAGTTCAGATAAGAGACATCGCCATCAGTTTCAGAGCTTCCAACTGAACACTCTGCATGCGGTGAAAAAATGAGACATTATTTAAGACGCATTCATATGTACTCCATGTGTCCAAAGCCACAAGTCCCATACTCAAACACAAATACCACGCACGATGCTACTTGTTTCCCTCCTACTTCTTTCTTCCCCAAAGCTGTTAGCTGAAGGTCCCTTCTGCAGCAATGCTAACACCGCATGCATGCCAAGCAGTACCTACATGTCCAGCCTCAAATCCCTTGCTGAAGACCTGATTGGCAACATCACAAGCTCAAACTCACACTCAGCTCATGGCGCAGCCGGAACAGGTGCTGGCAGGGTCTATGGAGCGGTTCTATGCAGAGGAGACACAACCCCAGGCCACGATTGTGCACAGCGCCTTGAGGCCCTTTATGCAGCCATCAGCAACAGCAGTAGCTCTTGCTCCTCCCAGAAGAACATAAACCTTTTGACGACAGAAACCGGACCCAGCTAATATTCTCTGATCAGGACTTCAACTCCAGCTCCAGCAACCCTCAGGAATGCGTAGTGAGCGCTAATCTGAACCCTCCGCCAGTTAGTGATGGTGATGACTCAAAGTTCGATGTGCCTGTTTCCAAACTGATGAACCAGCTTGCTGATGACATGGTGAGTAAATCAGTCAGCAGGTACGAGACAGGCAAGGGCTGGCTCCGTCAAACATATCAGACAGTATATGGCTTTGTGCAGTGCACAGATGATATTGCATGGGAGGATTGCCGAGGTTGCCTGAAGGGCATTATAAACAACAGGAAGCAGATGGTTGGTAGTGGCCAGATGGGAGGTGCAATCCTAGGGATGTACTGCAGCTTGTGGTACCAGACTGAAGTTAAGTTCTTTGCTGGTAACCCGACGTTGTCAGTAGATATGCCCGTAGACCCCCCACGTAAGTACATCTTCAATCCTGAGTTGGTTGACTTGTTTCAAGTTTTCATCTTCATCTCCTCTAACCATCTGATTGAAACTAAACTCAGGTGAACGCAAAATTAGATTTCCCCCCACCAAAAAGACAAAGTGCCTCTTTTTTTTAGAAGGGTCAAAATTGGGGTGCACATACTACATTACAACATTGTGTTAAATCTACCAAAATGATTTTGAAAGCATAGAAAATGTTTGCTTGCTTCCATTAAAATTTACTTGCTAGGTATCAATCTACCATGTGACCCTCTTATTAAGATTTCTCGAAATCCAGCATTGACTACTGACTAGAATTTTCATTGGTTATAACTCATATACATGGATGTGCAGCAAACAAATTTTGGATCTGGATCACTATTGGATCATTCTCCATCGTGGTTTCTGTTTCTTGGTTGCTTGTTCATATATGGATCAGAACAGAGAGAAAAAGAGGTAAAGTATTAGTCTCATGGCACTAACCTTGTTTCTGCTTTGATTTTAATGGTAAATAATGAGTACCAACAAAATAACTTCACAATTGCTTCCAGAACGAGCAAGATATGAATTGCAATTGCTGTCAATGGCAATACAAAATGTTATAAATCTTTGGAGGATTGAAGAAGGAAACTCAGGATTTTCACTGTACAATTTCTCTCAGATAAAAGAAGCCACCGGCAACTTCTCTAGTGAAAACAAACTTGGACAGGGTGGCTTTGGACCTGTTTATAAGGTAAATGTGCTAGCATATTAGCATTCAAATTCAACTATTTTTGTTATTGTATATTTGGTAAATATTGTTTGCTTCTTAATAATAACTTCATGTTGTATTTTATAAATAACCTTTCCATTTCTGAGAAACAACCATGCCCATATATTTCACAAGAAAAATAAAACCTAATATCTTCTACTAAACGTGTGCTTTTTTTCTGAATCTCTCTTTCAAAAAAGGGAAAAAAGAGAGGAAATGATGCATGCTTGTTGTAGCACCAGCTATAAAGTGATGAATAAAAAGCGTACTACTCTTTTTGTAATGTTTACTAATTTCAGGGCCTATTGCTTGGTGGTGTTGAAGTAGCAGTCAAAAGGCTTTCAGCATGTTCTGTACAAGGTTTACTAGAGTTCAAAAATGAAATTCAGCTGATAGCAAAGCTTCAACACAAAAATCTCGTTAGGTTGCTTGGCTGTTGTATCGAAGGAGATCAAGAAAAGATACTCGTCTATGAATATATGCAAAACAAAAGCTTGGACTTATTCATATTTGGCAAGCCATCCATAAGATTTCATATTTTCAAATATTCTGTAACTTGTGAGTTTTTTTATTTTTTTTTGAAATCTAGATATTCAATAATTTTGTTCCTATTTTGCAGATCCAAAGAAAAGAGTACAGTTAAACTGGTACATGCGTCTACATATAATTGATGGGATAGCACAGGGGATCTTGTACCTTCACAAGCATTCACGGTTATGTATTGTTCATAGGGATTTGAAAGCAAGTAACATTCTCTTGGATAGGGACATGACTCCAAAAATTTCTGATTTTGGAATTGCTAGAATATTCAGCTCAAATATGATAGAATCAAATACCACCAGAATAGTCGGCACACAGTAAGTATAAAAGGCATGTGGATTTTAAGTTTATATCTAAAAAAAGCAATTCTACACTTTTCTAATGAGAATAATGCAAACTTTATAGCAGTCCCATTACACAGACTAATCTCCATAATTAAATGTATTACCAAATTTGGGCTTTTCTTTCAGAAAGCATAGACAAAGTTAATTTTAATTTATATACTTCTTGTGGGTCTATAGATGGTAATATTATATATAACCATTTCTCTTGTTCCAAACAGTGGCTACATATCTCCAGAGTATGCCTTTGATGGGATTTGCTCAATCAAATCAGATGTGTTTAGCTTTGGCGTCTTGGTCTTGGAAATAATAAGTGGAAAGAGGACTACTGGTTTCTACCAATATGATGGAAAATTGTACAATCTCATTTCTTATGTAAGTGTTAATTATTTTTAGATTTGATGTCAACTTGCTTGTACAATGTTATAGCCTTAGGAGTATCATTTGCTTGACAACAGAACACTGATTTCTAACAGGCTTGGAAACTCTGGAGAGCAGGAGACTGGTACCAGCTGGTCTGCTGTCCTATAGGAAATGATCATGAAGTGATAGAAAGGTGCATTCAGGTGGCACTGTTATGTGTCCAAGAGAGTGCAGAGGACAGACCTACTATGGACCATGTGGTTACCATGCTAAATGGTGACAATGTGAGTTTGCCTAAGCCAAGGCAACCAGGTTATTTCTTTGTACGTTCTAACGAGTCAGAAGCCCAATCAAGCAACTTCAATATAAGTATTACATTAGAAAGGTAGACTGTCAATCCATGAAATTGTGAACCATGTTTCTGACTTCCTATGACACAAGGAAGTAGGAATGGTCCAAGCCTAACAAGTGGTTTGTCTATATGTACGATAATGACATTGTCATTGTTTAGCCAAACATTGTTTCCAGTTTTCTACTTGAAAGTACAAATCAGTACTCCCTCCGGTTCTCTAAAGCAAGTCGTTTTGGACATCGACACGGTCTTTAAGAAACGACTTTGACCGCTACTTTTTGCTATAAAATATTTATAAAATATAGTCAATATATACTTTTATGAAACTATATTTCGAGATGAATCTACTTACATCACATTCATATTTTCAAACTCAACCCAAAAGAAATTATTTGTAGTCAAAGTTTAAAATGTTTAACTTAAGACAACCTCAAAACGACTTGCTTTAGAGAACCGGAGGGAGTATTATATAACTCTAACCTTCTTTGTTAATATATATAATGTTTGCTGTAGTCACAGTAACATGCTAAAATGGCTTTCTGGGTGCTGTAAGGAGTACTGATTGTAACATGACAACACAAATAAGCTTCAAGTGCTTTAACTCTTTGCTGCTCCTCTTCAAACATTCTGTAAGAGTAAGACAGTAAAGTGTGCAAAGTTGTCCTAATCAGTTGTGCACACTGGCGGAGCCTCTCAGAGGCCAAACTGGGTGCTGGCCCCCCCTTTCTACTCCCATTCCCTTGATTTGTTCACTAAGCTAGGTTATATTATATGGAGAAACTACTAGTATTCTTTATACAAAACTCAAAAGTAGATTGTTTTGTAGATATATATTGCACAAATACAAAGCATTTGCATAACAACTTTAAAAAAAATATTCATTGGTTTTCCTTAACAATTTAGCCCCCCTTAATTAATCCCCACGCTCCGCCACTGGTACTTGTGCATGAATCAGAGCATCAGGCACGTCTGTATTTACAAAATCCTAGTACTGACAAAAGTTGCAGGTGCTATATCAGTACCAAATTTCAAATTGGGATAACTAAAGGCTTACATATACAAGTATGAAAAACTTGAGTCTCTCCACTCAGCACTGGCGTGTAGCAGGAGAACCAATGAACCATAATAACAGAGCCATCATGCGAACACCACTTGCATGGTTTCGATTTTGTTAAATATTTTTTCCAAGGAATTGTTCTATTAAATCTTGATAATGCAAAAGCACATGACCATCAATTTATGCCTGGCAAACACTCCACTAAAACGTACCACGATCTATATTTCGAAGTCGATTTCGACTTCATCCTAAATCCAATCAAAATGTCGAAATAAACCCCTACCCTGAGTAGAATTAAGATTGCATTCTAGAGATAGAGCAAATCAGTATCTTCGCAAGCTGTGAAAAGTGGACCTGAAAAATAGGTTTGTGGGGGTGGGGAGCATGGTGAAGTAACAAGAGGACATTAACCTGCGAGGCCGGCGGAGAGCCAGGGAGATGCGCGCAACCAGACACTGAGGACTGAACCAGTGGCTACCGTGCTTGTCCGCGTGGCCACGCCATTGGGTAGCTTCCTTCGCCCCGTTCGCCGGCGGGCAGCCCGATTTTTTTTTTGTTTTTTAGCCCTTTTTCTAAAAGTTTTTCACAAATATGCCCCAAGGTATCATTTCAAAAAAATAAACCCTCACCTCGGCGCCGTCGTTATTGGCATCTATCTTACACGTTTCGGCGCCGGAGTCTTTGGCGCTTAGCTCTCGTGGCCACGGCGGTGTGGGGGGCTGACCTAGCAGCCAGCACGGCGCCATAGATCTTAGGCGCCGTAGATCTTAGAGCCGAGCTAGGCGCCTCTAGCCGGCTGGCTAATGGCCCCCCAGTCTCTATCGTTTCATTCCTTCTCCCTCCACTCGGCCCGACTCCCTCTATCTCCCTCAGTCCGTCGCCGCCGCCGCCGCCGCGCTCCTCCTCACAACCACCGAAGTCGCCTCCCCTCGGCCACCAAGCGTCCCAGCCCCCACCCCCACTGCGCGCTGCGACACGCCATCCCGTCCACATTGGGGACAGGCGGCGTCCGCCACTGCTTCTGCCAAGCAAGCAAAGGGGTAGCGGGGGCTGTGCCTAGGTGCTCGGGGCCTGGTGCCTGCCTCCCTTGGCCGCACGCCCCCGCCCGCCTTGTCGTTGTGGTGGCCGGCTAGGAGGGCGCCTTGGCGCACCAGGGGCGCACGATAGCTTCCCCACCGGCCGCCTCTGCCTCCTGACGACCGGCTCGTCTCCCGTGCACCGGCTACGCCTCCCCTACAGCGAAGCAAAGTACATTAGTTTGTTAATTTTCTTCTTATTTGACAATAGTTAGTTAGTTAATGTGGTAGTGATTTAGATAGGTAGAAAGATATTTAGATAGATAGGTAGATTGATGGATGCTTTACATAGTTAGTTAGATAGTTAGTTAAATAGTTATATACTTAGTTACATAGTTAGTTAAATAGTTATTTGACATAGTTAGTAGTACTTAGTAGTGAATTGATAGTATCTATTTAGTTAGTTATGATGTACTAGAGACCTTGTACTTAGTATGTTTCATTTATATTGGACTAAAGGAAATATGTTTCGTTATATGTATGAACTAGATGGACAATCTAGTGAGCATATATCATGGAGACACCGTGGAAAGAGATCATTATGGATATGTTGAGTTTGTTGAGATGCAAAGCGTGCCTGTGTTATTTAATGGGAAGCCTTCATTTAGTGAGTTGATTGCAAGGGCTCAGGAGGAGCTATATTGCCATGGAGATGATGGCATCATAGTTGAGGGTGTACTTCACCTAGGTTCCTCTCCCAACATCCTAAGGAAGATGATCCTAATTGGGTGTGCGGATCAGTGGAAGAACTATGTGAGATCGGCTATGAAGAGCTAGTTCCAAAGTTTGGATGTGGTTGTGCGTTGGGTGGTACTTGATCGCATCCCTCATGGTTTTCCCCCAGAAATGGGTCAGCAGGCACACTTTGACCCTCCCATCCCGGAACCTGATATGGATGTGGAGGTTTCACCTACGGTTCCTGATGCTCAATCTGCCCCCAATGAGGTAGTTGGAGATGCTTGTCGGACTCATGATGTTGTGGCAGATCCTCCTCATGAGATCCCTTTAACACAGAATCATCCGAGTAAGTGTCTTATCCGCATCATTATTGGGAGCTTACCCCCTTCCTTACATTCATTTTTCTCATTCTTTCCTCGTATTTCTACTTATGTTGCAGGAGACATTCCTGACAATATGCATGTGCCTCCTGTTGTTGCGCAAGTGCACTATAGAGACGGATTCCGTGGCTCCAATAGTGTTGAAATTATGAATGATTCAGAGCCATATGAGATGGCAAGGGCTCTTGATTCTGATGATGATCGTCCTGCTGGAGAGCTGACGGAGAGTGACGTTGAGATGCTGAGGCGTATCTTTCCTGGCCACCATGATCCAAGAGTTCACGAGTTCAGCAATCTTGCTCATTCCGATCAGGCGTGTGCAGAAGGACGTGATGATGAGCTGCTAGAAGCTCCTGAGGCCGGTCCTAACATGGTAATTGAGAAGGGTAGTGTATTCAAGGACCTTCCTGCATTGAAGAGGTGGTTGCAGGCGTTTGCAGTAATACGAAAGAGACCTTACAAGGTCTTGCAATCATATGCGGAGCGCTGTTACATAGTTGTGTGCGACAAGGAATGCTGCCCATGGAGGGTTTGTGCAAGTAAGCAAAAGATCATCGGAAAGTGGAAGATCATAAAAGTTGTCGGGCCACACAATTGTGCTAACCATGTGTTCAGACTGAAGCATTGACAATTGACATCTATCCTCATTGCCAAGCGGTTGAAATGGTTTAGTATAGCATCTAACATCTTATTTTGACATGTTGCAGGTGTCGTGGGAGCCGTACG